AAAAACGAATTTAATAAATTTTTCTAATTCAAATTATAAGGTACACTATACTATAAAGTATAAGTGATAATAATAAAGTACACTATAGTATAAGTAATAATTATACTAAAATATAATCGAATTATCATTWATTATTTTATCATATATAATAAATTATACTGTTATCCGTATAATTATTAATAWACATGATGGTTATATTATGTATTGTTTCGTGTCCTCTCCAGAATCCAGTCTACCATTTCCTCTGATTGTATATTATATCGTGTCTGCGAGGTCGGTATACTAGCAGTAGGTGTCCTCGTAATCAGCAGCGCCCACCGGCCCTCTCAATGGTTGTGTTAATGGTGGGGAGTCCGATCAATCTAAAAGCTCATGCGTGTTGCGCCSGTCAAGACGCGGTGTCGCGGTTGAACCGGCAACAGTACCGGTGGTCGACGTTTTTATTACTACAATTGAACGTAATCGAGAACACTCACAGTAGTTATTCTCAGAGTTATTCTGTATTAGATTAGCAAGTAGATTTTAGGGGACTCAAAATTCAATTGATGGTTTATAGTTTTATACTTACATCATTTTACAATATACTAATATATATGTATCTAGTAATTATGGGGTAATTAATACCAAGTACCTATATGTTATGTATCAACTGCAGGAAGTAATATTAAATATTCTGGTATATTATATTTACARTTTTAATTTCTAAATTGAGTAAATATTTATACCAAGAAAAGACACTATAAGTTAATAAAAATTCTCACTTCAATTTTTTTTTTAAATAATGCGTTATCTGGTTTATTTTATTTATGTTAATTAAAAATGATCATTTGTTGAATGTAATTGTATTGTTCTTATTTTTCCTCTAAGAATGAATACCATGAAAAATATTAAACATATTTTATTAATTAATTACCATCGTTATAATTTCGGTTTTAATTTATAAATTCTTGAGAGTTGTCTATGTGAAATCAATTGTTTTATCATGTGCTTTAAGAAATATAAAGAMCATATTATTTATCCATGCAATACAGTATCATGGTATTAGTTGCTTTTTTTAAAACTTAGAAATGTACCAGGTCAAACAGTGMAACGGTCTACCTTAATACCTTATAGGTACTGATATGAAAATGATTTTTTATATTTTTTGTACACAATACCTATATTGAAGTAAACCTTCATCAGAAAATTATTAGTAATATAACGTAGGTACCTATGTCTATAATAAACTTTGAAAACAAAATTATTTAGATCTTTTTTTATGGACAGTAAATTGTTTTTCAATATTATTACTATGTTATAAGAGTTAAGTTACTCATATATTAATATGATATCTTAATTATAAATTGTTTAATACTATAAAATACATAACCTATTGATATAAAATAAAATTTGATAATACGAGGTACAAATTGGTTATACAAATTATTTATTTTATTTCGATTAGATAAATTTATTGCTTTATTGAAGAAAATAAATGAATGGCCGTATGTTCTGAATGAGAAACAATCTACTATAGTTTTTGAATTCACAAGATTTACTCGGAAAAAAAATATCATTTTTTTTATTCTCATAATAAAGGTATCTTGATTTCCCCAATAATTTATTAATTATTATTATATTTCATGAATTTGTTTTTCTCATATTACACTCGAGAAACAACATTAACAAACTTCAGTGTGTTATTAATTTAATTTATTTTTGTATTATTGGTTTTGGTAGAAAGATTTCTTATTAGTTCTTAACCAGAGAATTCGGGGTATTACGATATCATGATTCACAAAGCTTYATATATTATAAAAATTTTATTTTTGCTATTATTTGCTAAGTTATTTTGATTTTTGTCGTAAGAATTTAAAATATAAAGATCCAATGCTTTAGTTGAAATTAATTTGAATCTTGAACGAGTTGCTAATATTATTATTTTTATTATTTTATGTATACCTTTCATAAGTCATTCTATTTTATGTTTAGTAATAATATATTATACATATTATTTTTAATTAAACTGATTCGATGAATGTAAATATATGTAATTGTGTAGATAACACATGCCTTCAACAGTTAGTTATATGGTATATAGAACTTAATAAATTACTGTTAAATAACTTTAAAAAAAGGTAGAACGCTTTAAATATCTATAATAATATGATATGTTTTAAAGTAAGATATTACTTATTTAAAGTTTCCATCCAGATACAAATATTTATTTTTAAATTATATATTCATACTAAAAAACAATACAGAGTATCTTTATATACCATATTATAGATATTTCATATTATATACATATATATGATCGTAGCAAACATGTTGATTGAAAGGCCGTTTAAAATATAATTTTTCTATTTACCATTGTTTCATAGTGTAGTAGGGGACCAAGGAGTAAATGTCGAAATTAGGGAGAGGGTATTGTATGAGCGTTGTGTGATCAGCGCTGCGAAAACCTCTCCTAAAGCTCTAGCGTGCTGCGATGGAACTTTACATCCGCGCTCGACAGGCAGTCAGTACGGCGTTGGGCGTGGTTCGTATAGGAATGAATACAACAGCAACCGATGCGATATTTTTCATTAAATTGTTCACCACTAACCCTTTATAATATTGTAATATTACCTTTTAAACGTTATAACAATTTTTTGTACACATTAATTACCTACCAGCGATTGATGTCTGCGCGTTATTTTATTTAGATAAATCACCCAACATTTAACCCATCGYTTTTCAACTCATTGGTTTCGCGATATATTACGACGATGTTGAAAGGGGTGTTGTGCGATAACAGTGCGCTACCAGTACACGCGAGATAATAAGGTCCTTAATCTTAGTGATCTTATAAACACTTATAACACGATGTCTAGCAACCGTTAATGAAACGTGTATTCGGGATATATACGTCCTACTGCTTAACCTGACGGATACATCCATGTCTTGACCTTAAATATTTGATTTATCTTGAGGTGAGTAACAGCAAAAATAATATAATTCAGTGTACTGTATACTATCTATAAGACTGTATTAACTATTATTTGTGATAATATGCTATTTTGTAACATATAATATTGTACTATTGTAACATAAAAAATAGATTTCCATATCAAATGCTTAGAATACCTAATGCAGTTGTGCGTCATTAAAAACGCTACATTAAACATATCTACTTTACAAAGAGAAATTTCTAAGTTTCACTTTATAAGTATATAATATTAATTATTTAACTTCTTTAATATTGTGGTTCTTATGAAAAAAAATTGGTATAGATATTTTGTGACGTACCCAGCTAGAAGAATTACCGTAAAAAAGTAAAATTAGAAGAGATTTCCTAAATTTAACCATGCTAACTATATCCTTTTTCAAACATATACAATAGTAAATTCAATATTTATGCATCTATATAAATTATTAAAATAAGTTAATTATTATTCAGATTTTGTTTATTCGCTTATTGATGTAGCATGTCAATTGAATACTGGTTAGCTTCGTGAATTATAATTTATAAGCTATATTATTGTAAATAAATGTAGTCGAAAATAAGTTTTACTTTTTTACACTTTATTCATAAAAAATCAGCTTATAAGATTAATAATATGTTTGGGTTTGGGTTGCAGTTGAATAATAATTTTCATAATTTTTTATAAATTCTTATCATCCATTATGAGCTTGCTTAGTATTTATCAAAAAAGTTGTTGAAACTATAATAGCATTAGTAAATTTGATAACATATTTTAAAACTGGACATTTTAGGTATTGAGCTAGCACAACTATTTCATTTTAACTAAGCATATTTCGTATAACCAATCCTGTGAGGTTACGCAACAACAATCAATTCATAGTATTATATAGTTGCTCTTAAGTATACGTTGTCAAACATTAACTAATACCGAATTATTAGTTCTTGTKTATAAAACATGAATAGATCAGAGGAAACCACACATCAGTAACACCCCTGAAAATAACTAATATTGTTTTATTTACTGTTCATTAATTTATATGATGGTTAATACTAAACACCTATAGTTCGTAATATTTTTAATTGCCCATTGTCAGACCCTAGYGAGGGTAAAGTTTTCCATTGATGTCATTCATCGGATTATATCCATGATGAAAGTGAATGTATTTGGATAAATTGTAAAAAAAAAAAATTATGACAGTCGTCACCCTGAACGAAGGAATTTTGTTAACACTTTATAGCAAATTCTTTGCTTGTACCTAATATTACCTACCGACTACCATCATATATGCTTAACTTATATAGGTGTATAATCCAATGTCGATAATTCAGAGTGCATCTCGTGGAGATGATATATATACCTAATAATATAATTTGTTACTGGGAGACTTACCCATCCTACCTGACTTACTGTCGGCTACATGCTTCTAAAAATGTTTTAATAATTATTCAATTATCACCCTTACCTGTCGATTCGAATATCGTAGTGCCCGTGGAAATTAAAATATTGCGATCAGATTCTAGTGTACATAACTTACACTTATTAGATCATTCTTAATACGGAGGTATAAACACACTATTAAAACCTAGACAACCTAACTTATCCTGGMAGGAGGGATTTACCCATTGCCTCCACGCAAATATCATTGTAATGCCCTTGTATCTTCATATCGCATGTGGTTACATAGTGATGAATAGATTTGACAATGATTGTCGCATCTTCGTAATCAGTGGAACACTACCAGATTCGTTTATTTGTGATCGTGATTGTGCCCAAAGCTGTGTTATCAATAATTGTGGTGATGGATTTGACGATAAATACCGCCATGAGTYGAATAAAGAAATGCATTAGCTAGAACGTTGAACGCTATTCACAGCTCGCTGTCCATATTTGCTCCTTCTATGAATAATATAACAATGTATATTCTAAGGATTRGAAGCATGTAACTATGTAGTTTTAATTAGTAATCATACCGTAAAAAATACTATTTAACGTTTAATAACGTTCTTTTATCGTACCGCCTAAAGAACAAAATATTCATCGCGGAACTACTTGCTATACCTTGTTCGATTTTATTAYGATATTATACTAGTATTTTTCTTCCGTCATCGTCAACGTCCCAATCACCTAACCTAACGAACTTTAGAATTACCGCTCAACCTACTGCAGTTATTAATTTCGCGCGTTTTCGATTCTCTCACTGTTGTTTTGACGATGACAACGACTCGGTGTCATCGTTCATCTTCCCGGTGGTGGTGTCAAAGGCGTTGTCGAACTGCTTCGCTGTGGCGGGGGAGAAGAGAGCGAGAGAACACCACCGTGCCGTGTCGCCTTCACGGTGCACACGCGGTGGGTGTACCCCGGAGGAAACGTCGGGCGGTCGCCACGGCAACATCCGCGCCCCGACGGTAACGTTGACCTTTGGCGCGTACGATATATATGTGCTTGCGTGTGCGTTTATAATATGTTCTATACTTTACGGATATGACGACGACGGTACTAGCCGCCTCGGAAAGACAACGCCGCAGCAACGCGCGGGTATGTAAAACAAAGAGTGGYCGACTGGTCAAATACTTCCTCCCGCCCACCATCCACAATATTGTGGTATACCGTTTACCGTGTGTAATTCGTCGTATTTTCCGCTGTACGGTTCCACGCTCATATGCGCTACCCTCGACCCCGACCCATCATAGAGTGTCTTATGAGTTATGATGTCCGTGAAATAATATTATAATTATAGGTAGCACTTAATATAGTCATATTATGTTATAATATTTATGATAGTAATATTAAAGTCGTAATCTGCGACAATATTGTCTCCGCTGACACTTTTATATCGTATTTTTTCATGGACGAAAACTCGTAGGAYTACATGACCAAGCGTCTTGTTTGAAGGAATTATTCAGCTAGTCATGGATCTACATACGTACAAATCTTTGCATAATATTATTATGCCGCGTTCATATTATTGTATAGATATTAAATATTTCAGCTATAGGATTGAAATGAGTAGTCAGAAAATGACAAGGAGGAACGAAATACACATTTTGAGAAAATGTAAGATGTCTAACCCTTTCGGCCAGWGCTYGAATTGAGGTGTGATGKAGTCTCTATATTTTAAGAAATATGAGGATTTTAATTTTGAGTATCTATTCTAATTATTATATCCTCGTCAATAAGACAATTATAAATTCAKGGACACTATTTTTTTTATATACGGCCTCCTTATAAATATTTTCCAATTCAAGCATTTCCTTAGTTTACGTACACAAACGGTTTATTTAATAATGTTAAATTACATTTTCTCTGTAGTGAACTTATAGTTTTTTAATAATATCATAGATATCTAGAGTAAAAAATTTATATGATGGTTTAAAAGTAGTTAAAAACTTCAGATTATTTGTAAATTTCGACTTACTCACATTTTGGATCAATTCTGTAAAAAAGGATTTTGTACAAAATGTTATATTAAGAAAAAGGTAAGTGGTAAGTTGTATTAGTCCGGGTAATGCCTTWACACACTAAAAATGTTAAAACATATAAGCATACGTATGTTATCGTTATGTCCTCAAAATGTGTAATTCGGCGACATTGATACCACATAAACAATCCAAGTTCATCCAGCTGAAATATTTAGTGGCACCTCTTATAGCACGGATACCTGTTGTATATATATTGTATTATGATATATATGCATGGTGGTGTACTGGTGTGTCTTTACCTATTAAATAATATATCATTGTGTTTAAGAAACGTCCACAGAGTTTAGGATTATACAACTATTATACAAGGTATAACAGGTAGGTAGATCTGATAAATTAAATAACTTTTGTTCTAATCAATATTTTTTAACTTTTATATGTACYTATGATTTGTTAGCGTTGGACTATATGTATAGTACCTATAACTTATTGTTTATATTTTTTAATAGGTACTGRAAATAAAAAAATTAAAAATTTGCTTTAGCTRATTTGTTAATCTGGGTTTTAAGAAAACTTGACTGTTAAAACATTTATCTAAGTAAAGCGATTTATTATTTTTATATATTTTTAATTTTTTTGAGTAGGTAACTCATTAATTTTTAAAGATTTAACTTTTAAAAAAATAGATATTATCAAATGTTTTAAAGTACCTTATTTAAAAAATCTATACTTTATGAATTTAAAATATTTTTATTACTGGAAAACTTTATTTTATAAAAATAATGAGATTTAAAAATTTTWAAAAAAATGGACTTCTTGACTTATAAATGATCTTTCAATTAACATTTTTCTCATCAGCAAATTTAATCATTTATAAATTGACTGTTTTGAATATTTAAAAAAAAAAATGTATTTCAGATTTTAAAATTKTATTTTCAGTATTAAAAATTAATGTGTATATTTTTTTYCCCATATTAATACCCCCATATCCTCCACTACAATAGGCGTATAAGAATGTTTTAATTTAGTATCAGTATTCAGTTTGAAATAAATAAAGTTATAAATGTCTCGACCATATGGCCAATATAAAAAATACTGCTTTCATTATAGTTTGACGCATGTAAAAACGCGTTTGGAGAGAATGTCATTCCGCCTCTACTAATTGTAAACTATAAAATATAAATTCTTAACAATGTTGAATCTCGTATATTATTTCCGTCGTAAGTTAAGTGATTACGGTGTTTCATTTAATCGTGTCATCGACTTATTTCCATAATAAATGCAAATGTTTTTGAATAAGAACAAAATCACAACAAAGTAAACTATATAAGACGCTGTGTGTGTCACATRTACCCATAATATGTATTTTAGATAATCCCTAATAATTTTTACCTGTTTRTTGTATTAAAATATCATAAATGGCTTATAACTTCATAACGCATCACTTTATTATTTATTATTATTAAATGTTTTGACAACAAAGTAAAATGAATTATCATTTTTGATATTGATGTTTTTATTTGTTACACAATAGTGCAAACGTGTGTTTCATACTGCTACTAACTGACATTRAGTTGAACACGAATGCTTTTGTGTACTTCAATGGAGATATTCGCTGTACAATTGTGCATGTCTAAAATATATTGATATTACGTTTTACGATTGTCGATCTATTTTGYAGCATAGTTGGGATGAATTAATAAATGTATAAATTTGGTAGCCATAAATAATTATATTTAACAACATACAAGAATTGAGACACCTAGATTTGGGTTTTATATTATCCGCTTATTTTAATTAATTTCATTCTACATTTATTAATTTTACTATTATAAATCGAACAAATACTCTGGGATGAACAGGTGAAGTATAAACATTATTAAGTATATGGATTWTAAATTAATACTTGTTGAAAATTGATTTTACTAACTTATAATTAGATCGCCTAATGAACCCAATTATTATAGAGTAAAATATTTTTTTTTTTTTTAAATAATGTCTAACAACAATGACAGTTCAAATGTTTAAACATAATATTATAGACGAYATAATATCGATCTTGTGTAATAAAAATCTTCATTGTTCACCAACGTTTGAAATAATCATATACATATATTGCGATATTCGTCTTATAATAGTTTTAAGTATTTTATATCCAAAATGAAAACAAATAATTACATTTTGCATAATTATTCTAGTTAGTGTGTGTGTGGCGCGTGTGCGTTCGCTCTTGGGCGAGACGTACGCCTGCGCGCGCGTGTGTAAGTACGAACACATGAGTGTGATGATGCCGGCCGGCGGCGGGTTGGGTAAAACAAGCACGCGGCGTTGCGCCCGTTGATCGATCGGCTTCGCGCTTGCGCTTTACMCCCCTTACTCCAGAATGCGTGAGTTAATCATGCACCGAGGACTTGGATTTTTGCCCCTTTTATTTTATTTTTTATGTGCAGAGAAATTATTATTATTTTCCCATGTCCGCGTGTCTTGAAATTAAAATAATTATTATATAATGCCAGTTGTCGCACAGACTTTCGGGAAGGTCATTCGTGACTCCGTCGTACACGCATCGTCCACCRGGATTGTCGTGGTTATACCAATCCGGTCACCAGTAAAAATCACCATAGCGATACTACAATATAATATAGTTAACAAGGGATTCAACGGGGAATTAATAATAATAATTCAATTAATTTTCTGTACCTATTATATACACACTTACGATATTGCAACTTATGAAAGGTACCTGTGTATAATACAAACAATCGTTGAGTTTTATTAATTTAATATTGTAAGCAAGATGCAAATTCAATCATGTAATAAATGTTTATACATTATAAAATCCATATCTATATATAATATCTTATTCATTAAATAAAGTGAATATGATGAAAAAACAAAACGTATTATCTTTGTTAAAAAGTAGAAAATGCTGTATGTAGGAACTGTGTAGTTGTAATGTTATGACGTCATTATATCTAATGTAATAATAGAGAAAATTATAAAAAAAATTGAGTTATACATTTAAAAAAAAAATTATTGAAATATATTATGTTTAGTCTAAAACCTGAATTATTTCTCTAACAGTTCAATTTTATTCATATTGTTTATACAATTTAATATTTGATAAATATCATAAATTACATAAGGTAGGATACCTATATGATTCAAATACATATTGTTTATATTAAGGTATAATATAAATAACAATATTTTTATCTTAATTCATGTATTTGTTTAGTGTCTTGTAAAGATAACAATAATTGATTAAAATAACCTATTAGATTTACATTTCTAGTAATGTATAAAGGTGTGCACAATATCTACTAAATAATTGCAATAATTATAATTGTTTAAAAATTAGGATTTTAAAAGAAATTAGTGAATTATTGTTCGTTGAATGCTCGTGCAAAATGTTCCGAGCCTTGAAAAACTACACATGAAATTATAAACTCATTGATAATTGACGTCACGTATCCGTATTTTGTTCTCTCCCTAACCTATTATCATGCCTGCTGGAATGTATTCATAGACCGTGTGGTCTATTGACGGAAGTCAATTTCGCTTGTAGTTAATGCTACACTTCATCCTGTCAATTGCATGTGTTGATAGATTAACAAGTTGATTGCATTGGTTCTCAGACTTTTAAATAGATATTTTTTATAACTATACTATATTAATGAAGAGATTGAGTAAATCACCGCAATACATCATTTTCATTCTGACATTTGAACGTTGTAAAGTACCCATGCGTTCTTATTGCATGGGTTGATATTCAATCAATTCTTGATTGTTATATCATAAAATATATAATTTAAACGACGTGTTAATGTATTTTATTACTTTATATAAATAAAATTGCGTATACATTTTAAATACACCTATATATAGTATATTCAGTATACATAACAATTTAATACTATGTGTAATTTGCAATGGCAAATTGTAATTATTTATATATAAATACTTTTAAATAATTCAATATATTACATTTCAAAATTATCAGTGCATTATAATTATGTTTTACATAATGACTGACTGACAACTTATTATTTTTTAGCATTTGTGTCGGTCGAGACCGGAGGCCCTAGCCGTGCACAATGAATGAACTGGACTCACTAAGGCAAGAGGCTGAAACGCTGAAAAATGCCATTCGAGTAAGTATCTAATAATAAGTCTAATMATTTATTATYATACAACATATTTTATTCTAATATTGTTATACTATAATATAGTATATACTTAATTTCAAGAGTGTTGATGTCAAAATGAATACTACAAATATTTTTTGATGAATTTATTTTTGTATTGTATTTTAAAAATCTTTTTATTGTAATTAATATACCAAAGGTACTTTTTTTTATAAATAAGAACACAACACATTACAAATGATGTTTGATTATTACCTCATCGTTCATAATATAAACGTTCGCAGACCTGAATTTCATGGTGATGCTTACAGTATTTGTTGACCTTTTTTTACCGAGCTAAGCAATGTTAATGTATTATACAATTTATAAGAGATTAAGAGACGTTTATTAYCTACGTGAATTATTGAATTCATTTATTACTAAATCTACATCAGCATTTGCAGTCATTTATTGTTGTGTAAATTGAAGACTTAATCGTTCCAAAACGATGATTCTTAACGGAAGTACATTATACAATAACGCGGAATAATTTTATCCCATATTTTATAGAAAAATGTAAGATAAGCGGTCCAGGCTCGTGGTCTTAATTTTTAGGGCTAAAAATTACTATAAGTGCACTCAGGTCACCAAGAACTCCAAGTAAACTCTTATGATCTCGTTCRATGTGTAGGTATGTCATTATTTTATTTTGGAAAACTTATATTTATCTGATCAAAGTGCCTAAACAATTTTAAATCTTTTGAACGTTCGCTGTTAGAATACTTGTACTGTGTTTAGGCAATAAACATAATATAATTTTAATATATCATTTCATCAAAAATGCTATAATTTGTTATAACTCGTATGACACTATATACAGGRTTTAGTGTTTGCATATCATGTAACGTTTTTAATAAATGGTATGATTTTGAAATTATATTATGTAATGTAAATCAGATATGAATTTTAATCACTTTCAAACTTAATATATACATATACATTTAATAATTGTGTAGCCGGCGTGTAGCATGTTCGAAATGTCGTTTGTTCGTCTGTTTAAAAAAATCATGATTAATATTGAATTGTTTTTAATTTTTAAATATGAACTCTTGGTTCAATATGTTTACGGCGGGTTGATGTTGAATTTAGTTTAATCTCCGTGTCGCGATGACAACGTGACAATATTTTTACGACGTGTGGTGGTCTGAAACCTTTAAATTGGACGTGCGCTGGGTAAAGTAACAACTATAGTGATAATAATCGTAAATTCTAATCTGCCGTTGAACACGGAAAGAAATATTTTGATATTTTCTCATCACTACCACTGACGTTATAGCATTAATTCATAGGTAAAACTACGGGTCTGACCACTAAGGCCATGGCCCGACTTAATACTAACTGGATAACATACTGACATGATAATTTGATTAATTTTTATAAAAATCTTATTTCATGTTTAGAATCTTTTCATATTTATAATTTGGCCTGTCCTTATAATGAGCATTATAATTATTATACTAATAATATCAGTTATTSTGCAATATTTCCCTGCTGTCGTCGCAATATGATATTATAAAAAATGAGTAAACCGYGCTGGAAACCAAAAAAAAACGACAGTGTATTATAACTTATAAAATATATTTTGCAATCTAAGTGTCGATAAATATTATAATATATGTTATGTCTCAGTTCTCAGTCAAAAACGCGTTCGTCCCATCGCGCATTCGTGCGATCACGTGTTGCGCTAGCTCTCGAGATCCGCTCGTAAGTCGGTAACACTCGTAACCGTCACACGCACGCACACTTAACATTTATAATAYACACACATGATATATAATACAGCTAGGGATAGGACGATACGTTTTATTCAGACGATGRTTACAYAGTAATGGGATTTAAACATTTTTTTTTCTTTTATTTTACTTTTGAAGCCGATTGTAACTATTCGAATCGTGTACAAGTACAACTGTACAATATGTGTAAACGAGTATGGCAGCGGTTCTCGAGAGTTAAAAATGTAAACCGTACCATCCCCGCCGCGCTAGTTTGATGATAAAAAAAAATCACCCTGTATAATATTACCGTGGTTATATATAAGCGTGGAGCTGCTATTAAAACACATCGGCATTATTTTATGTGTACAAATATAATAATTTACACTGCGGCTGTGTGGCCAACGCCGCGCATATATACAGCACGCACACGTCTACAAGTCGGCGCACGCTTGGTGAATCAAGCAGTCGGTAGCGTAGGAGGTAGCGGTGCGTGTACCGTAGTACAGAGAGCTTTTGCGGTGCGGTATAATACGGCTGCTATACACGCGAGGAGAAGAACGACGGCGGCGGCGGCGTCGTCGTTGGTGGTGGCCAGTGAAGGGGTCATGCGAAGCCGGCCGGCAGTCTCGCTCCCCCGGCCACTCCACTCTACCCCCATCGCCCGTATCTGCTCTCGTATACGGTGGCGGTATACGACCTCTTCTCCATCGCCCGCCACCGCCGTTGGGACCATCTCGCGCGCGCGCTCGTTCGCCCGTCGATCAATATGGCGTGTAGCCGCCGTCTCGCGCGGGTGCGCCGCCGTCGTTGTTTGACTATAACTGCTCGACGAGGGATCGTTCACACTGGCCAATTTGCCCCTTTCTGAAAAATGATGATAAAACCTTGTCTACATATTTTGYAAACAGGAGGGTGTTTCACCGAATGAAATCACCTATAGGTTTTTATTCTTCGTATTTTTGATCCGTGGAGCCTAACCGTATGGGAAAATCCGATAGCGATACAAAATCAACCATCGCCTCTGTGGTGGTCAATCAGGAGGGTAAAGGGGGATAGACCAGCTCTATAATTTATATTTTTAATAATTAATTAGTGCATGTTAAAAAATAAACCATTCCTCCAGCTAGCCCCTTCCCCCACATGACAAAATCATTTATACGCCACTGCATCGCCWACGTTCACTTGTTCGTCCTGTGTAATAATCGATATATACGCGGGTGTCTGGATGTATACGAGACTAAGTTTATACTTAAATATATTATATTAATATTATACTTGGACAGCGTATCCTCGACTCAAATCTAATTAATTTCCCAAAAATTGATCGTGTATTTAGTTGGGTTTTTTTTATTTATTCGAATGAAAAATTCTTGGTTGAGGATTATACGTGTTTATTGAAAATTTGATATCAATTGATATAAATTTAACTTTTAAATCATACTTAGTTTTATTATTGTTATATACATTGCCACATAGGTATTTGTTATATATTAAGTACATCTGTTATTCTATTATTATAATATATTAATATATCGGTTCAACTTCCAATCATAATTTTTTTTTTACACTTAATTATTAATAATTTTATGTTATTAGTCATTAGYTATTACTCTAAATTTTAATATTCATAATAGTACCTATATTTTAATTATAAAAATATAATATGACATCACGAATACGAAAACGCCCTTTTMATTGTTTTTTGTGATTATGTTAAGATGATAGTCTACTTTTATACAATTAATTTAAGATGTAAAATAATTATGACATGTACAGGCTTATAAAAAAATTAAAAATTAAAGAACTTATTATATTTTGTAATTGTTATTATTTGTGTATTTATTTTTTTTTTTTTTAATTAATCCGGGGTGACAGGCCGTTGAGTGAAGTTGGTTTTTTCTGCGGGCGGGGAATATAGTTGGTTTGAATACGTGTATATGTGACAAAGATTTTTCACTAAAAAACCGGGTGGTCACTTATCCGAGAACTATAAGGACATTGGTCGGTGCTCAGAATACATTTTGTGATGGAGGACAACCACCGTGCCACATCAGGCCACTTATTATTTCTTACTTATTATGTATAATATCTCCAACGTTTAATACTTTCCTTTCAGACAAATAAAAATTATTCTATGATTCCTCTAGTTGTATTTTTATTGCATAATTTGTACTTATTAAATAAATAAATAAAATCCAATGTTTGTTATATTTTTAATATTCTATAATACTACTTAATTAAAACCATTATCTGTTATTCAAATGCATTGTAGATACTTGTTTAATATATTTTGGTGCATGTACGCAATGCAGAATGCAGAATGAAAATAATTATATTCTTATATGTATTCACTGGTCTTTAAATAGAGTTTTATTAGAATGTACCTATATTGAATATAAATAATGATATGTATATTGTATGTAAAATGTATTATATTTATATACTATATGTTTTATAATACTAACACTCTTCAAAAATGTATTTGATGAGTACATTAATCATTGTACGTTTGATTTTTACTTTAAAATTCAAACGTTTATTTCTAACAGAAATGCTTTATATTATTTACACATACAACAATAGCACTGATATTTAAACTAGGGTTTGATTCAAAATTTTATTGTATTATAGGATGCAAGAAAAGCAGCGTGCGACACAAGTCTGTCGCAAGCAACCACCAGCATGGAACCGGTCGGCCGGATACAAATGCGAACGAGACGTACCCTCCGTGGACATCTCGCCAAAATATATGCCATGCATTGGGGTTCTGACTCCCGGTAATTAAAGTAGTTTGATAGAATAGATCCATATGTATTAATATGGATTAAGGTTTAGGTATAACAGAATTGGTAATTTTAAAAACTTATATAGACCCGTAACTTGTGTCATATTTATAAACAAATTAAAAATTATGATTATTTTAAAAGCAAAAAAATGTTATATTTTAACAACATTTGTGTATTGGTATTGGTATTAATATTTATAGTTTTCTTTTAAAAAAACTTCATAGTTTGATATGACTTAAAAAATACTATGAATACTATTACTTTTACTAGTACAAGAAGATGTAAAATTGTTACTAAAATATTAAATTGTTTATTTTCATTATTTCTTGTATAACATTTATTTGAAACCCCTATGTATAATATAAATTAAATATCTTTAAATCTTATTGTGTATTTAACAATTTCATTCCAGAAATCTAGTATCAGCCTCACAAGATGGAAAGCTTATCGTATGGGACAGCTATACGACAAACAAGGTGCACGCCATACCACTTAGGTCTAGCTGGGTGATGACGTGTGCATATGCCCCATCAGGCAGTTTTGTTGCTTGTGGTGGCTTAGACAACATATGTTCAATTTATAGGTATGCTATCTAATTTCTTAATAATATAAGCCAAATGAGATTTTATATTTGTTAATTGTAATATTTTTAGTTTAAAAACAAGAGAAGGTAATGTAAGAGTTAGCCGAGAACTGCCAGGGCACACAGGTTACTTATCATGTTGTAGATTCCTTGATGATAACCAAATTGTAACTAGCTCTGGAGATATGTCATGGTAAATATTTTAAGTATAATTACATCTGATTTTTTCTAATAACTATTATGCTATAGTGCATTATGGGATATTGAAACTGGCCAACAGTGTTCATCGTTCATTGGGCATACTGGCGATGTTATGTCTCTGTCAATGTCACCTGATATGCGGACATTTGTATCAGGAGCTTGTGATGCTTCAGCAAAAGTATTTATATTTTATTGTTTTCAAATAAAATAGAACTTCAATATAATTATTTAATTTTCAGTTATGGGATGTTCGAGATGGAACATGCAAACAAACGTTCCCGGGACATGAATCTGATATCAATGCTGTCACGGTAATTCATTATTTGCTATATAATTTTTAAGTAAATTCATACTAGTTTTACTAATTTTATATTATAATATTATACTCATATGAAACCTTGATTTCACAATTTTAAAAGTTTTTACTGTTTTTATGTTTAGTTTTTCCCGAATGGCTATGCTTTTGCTACTGGCTCAGATGATGCTACCTGTCGTTTATTTGATATTCGGTCTGACCAAGAATTAGCCATGTACTCACATGACAATATAATATGTGGCATAACATCTGTATCATTTTCAAAATCAGGACGTCTACTATTGGCAGGTTATGATGATTTCAACTGCAATGTTTGGGACTCAATGAAAGCTGAACGTGCCGGTTAGTTACAACTTATTTTAAGTTAATACTTATAAAAACAAAYTTCAATAAACAATTATTTAGGATCAAAACCCAAAATCTAATTGTATCTTTATAGTTTAAATGAAAAGATAATAAATATTTATGTACTCAATATTGCATCTAGTTCAAAATAAACTATGGTAATAATATTTTTAAATTTACATTGTAAGTTAAAATTTACTTTTGATAATTTATCATTAAGTAGCTCCAGTAAATAAGATTTGCTATTATCTGCTTTTATATGATTTTTCAGTATTTTTATAATTTTTGTTTAATCTTATTAATTTCTAAAATAGTTAGGTATTGCAAGTTTATTAAATAATAATTATAATATTGTTCCTAATCTAAAACCTTTTAAATTTATAAATAATTTATAAAAATATTTATTTTTTATTTTTCAGTATCCCAAATAGTAGGGATTTATTTTCCCAGATGTACTCCCTCATTTTCCAGCACACATAATTATACATTAATTATATGTACCTATAAATCATTCTTGTAATTTGGTTTTATTTCAATTGGTAAATGTATAACATATGGCCCAAAAATTTCTAATTGAAATTCTTGTTTACTTGATAACCAACCAATCTAAATAAATAATAAATATCTCATCATATATTAGATCACAATATTTTTAATTATGTACTTCTCTTGATGTTGTGTTAGGAAAAGGCAGTACACTTCTAAGATCCGTGTTTAAATTTCCCTTTCTCATCATTTCATTTTTATTTACTGCGATTAATTTTTCATTTCTTTTTCTATTATGTTTAATTATATATTAATAACTAAGTTATATACAATTTCTTATAGTATTACTTATATTCTTCTAATAACCATTCCCACTTATTAGGCCAATCATCAAAAGCTTTTTGTTCTTGCTCACAGCGACTTCTGAAATTCTGATCATCCCTTACAGATACATTTGCTCTAGCCATGTTATAAAATATTATGATTAACATTCAATTTTAGATATTTAATAAACAATAATATTTGTAACTAAGCAATTTGATATCTTATGATTAAAACTAAAGTCTTCTAGCAGTTAGGAATTTGTTTGAATCTGAAATATATAAGTGAATACAAATATTGAAATATGGTTCACAAAGTTTTTGTTTAGCTTATAAATTTGTAACAAATTTATAATAATTTATTTTATAAAACTGCATGTATACTAGTTGTAAACTAAGATACAGATAAAATTGTCTAGAAAGATAAATAATCTATAATCATTATGTTAGCAATAAATTAACTGAGTAGTTATCAATATTTATTATTACCTTTGTAACCCTAGATTAGTAATCTTTAATAAAACTTATATTTTAAAATAAATGTCTAGATCAACAAAGTAGAAAGTGAAATTGAAAGTGAAAAATTATTAATAATAATATTATCATAATTTGGTTATTTGGATRTTCTGTTAAAGTATCATAAAAATGAAATGAAATAAAACTTATTTATGTGTTTTTTGATTCTTTTGAAATGACATAACTTTTATCTCATCCCCTAGTAATAATGTATTTTATACATCCTTTGTCCTAAAACTATTTTAATTGTGTTATTTAAAATGTTTTATATTTTTAAATGACATTCAATTATTTGTATTTTATTTTAGGTATATTGGCTGGTCATGACAACCGAGTCAGTTGCCTGGGAGTAACCGAAGATGGCATGGCTGTTGCTACCGGTTCTTGGGATAGCTTTTTACGTATTTGGAACTGAGTTGGCCCTCTGATGAGACCTATGAAGTCAACGCCAAACGGTCCCTGAATTACAAAAAAAAAAAACCCCAAAAAACAGCTAAATAAATAAATCAATAAAAATACAACAAAAAACCAAATTAAGTAAAAAACAGTTCAAACATTTTTCTTAACGGGGGACCACTCACGCGAAATGAAATGTTTTGTTTTTATCACTTTAAGTAATCTCTAAGTTGCATTATTCAAAATCCAATATCACCCGACTTGAAGGTCTTCCGTTTCGCGCATTTTGGGACAAGTGTCCGCGGCTGTTTAGGTGCTCAAAAAAACAAAACCGTGGCAACACAAACTATCTATGGAAACGTAGTGTTAATAATTATATTTTACAACATATTATAATATACAGATGTGTATATATACATATAATATACTTACATACAAACAAACTAAAATAATTATGAATATTTATATCTAAGTCATATAACTAGAATAGATCAGTATTTAAAGTTATAAAACGCAAAAAAAAAATTATATTCCTAAAAAGTTTTTTAACGAGTGTTCATATTAAAAATAATTTTTAAAACAACAAAAAACAACTTTATATATTTTTCTGTGTAAATACTAGTAAATTAAATCTTGTGTATAATATTAAAAWTTAGTTCTTAGAGTTAAAATATATAATCAGAATTGTGTGCATTTTTCAAATAAATCTGAACTATATATTATTTTCACCAAGAAATTTTAGATTTTACACCGATGTTGGTTTTTAAAATAATGGCGTTATTTTACCATAAGAAGTTGATCTACTACAGTTTGTTCTCAATGCAATGGTCAGTTATTTCTCCTTGCTGATACCCATTTATACTTAATTATTACACTTGATGTGTTTTCATTTATAAGTGAAGAACTTTGGGTTGAAAATTGAGGTCAACTTCTTAAAATATTTAGAATCGTCTTAACATTTTGTAACACCACGGACGGCCTTCATGAGGGTTGTGCTCTGATCATACACATCTTTGGTTTTTATTATAAACAATATTCTTTTAATATATATTTTACTTTACAATTTTTTTTTTACATTCTAACGCACACATACACATTTTTATATTACATAACCAGTTTTTTAAAAAGCATTTATACCTATTAAAATATACGTGTGAGTTATTTGTGTTGTTTTTAAACTGTCAAGCATTCATTGAATAGTTAATTTTAATTAATTTTAATTAATATTAATTTTATTGTTACTTTGTAAACAAAACCATTATTTTAGCCTTATGAATCTGATAAAACCATAAGTTTTGCCACTATATTATATCTAATAGTGGTCATTATTTTGTATTATTATTATTATTATTATTATTATTATTATTATTTAATTACTTAATTCTTTAAATGTCCACGAATTACTAAAATAAATGTTTGATTCCCTAAATGGATTTACCTACACCATTGAACATCCCGCAATTCTTACTGATAATAATGGTGGTGGTAATATTTTCAGTTTCTTTATAATTTTATATGGTATAGCTAACACTCAGTATGCATATTTATGGCGAATTACACATAACATTTAATATTTGCATTTTCCTATAAATCTGATAATTTAATTGTTAATGTATCAATGCAAGGCAGAATGTTTATTAAGTCTTACATAGATCTTTCATGGAAGTGTTGTAATTTATGTTTATAAGAATGTCTTATTTCAATTTATCTAATCTTCATATACATTGTTTTTGGGTTACTTAAACATAAAGTAAKACTTTTTATATGCATTACCTGTATACTATACCATGTTTTGTGTTCTAATATATTAGCTATTTGATTCAGACATTTTATCTTAATACCTAAAGAATTATTGACATAGAAACCTTTTTTAGTTTTATGATTTAATATTTTTATAAATATATATTTTTTCCTAAAAGACTAATTATTTCTATTAAAAATAAAAATCATTGAATATAATATTTAAATTCAATGATAATTGTCAACAACCAAATGATTAAATGTTAGAAAATATTTTTTTTTTTCAACTTGAATGATCAGCTGTATAATAATTTATGAACATACAAAATATAAAATTAATTAAAAGTATTAATTTTACTTTTAGTTACATAAGAATAAACAAAAAAAATGTATATTTATATGCATGTGTGTAAAATATTTATACATACATATATATATATATAGATTTATTAATAATAATACTAATAGTATGTACAAAATATCAAATTTATAATTACATTTTTTTGCTTAACCAAACATCTTTGTAAACATTTTAATACATTCAGTACTTAGAGAATCTTAACGATTATTGTAATGATTTTGTGTTCTATTTTCATTTTGTTTTTGTTTTTGAGTGTGTGTTGCAGTCATTTTTTGAATTTTTTCTATAGTACGTATATTTTATAATTAAAAAAAAATTATCAATAGGATTACATCTTACCATCTAATATTATTATGTAAATATAAAATAGAAATTACATAATTTACAATTATAATTATAATTTTTTTTTCGGCAACAGTTTGATGTCACACACTGTATCATATAGGTACTTTTACTATGATTATAAATTATAATTATAAAATATTACAACTTTAGGACTTACGTAAAGATAAGGTCTTAAAATTATCGTTGTACGATAACTATTAAGGAAATAAGGAAAAAATATTTAAAAAATATTGCAGTCAAAAGAATATCGCTGTTTTTGTCGAATTTCTAATCATATTAATTAATTATAAGTTAAGTTATCATTATTAATTTTTAATTTATTGCCAAAAGGAAAAAACACTAAAAACCAAGTAGTTTATAGTGTCTTGTATTTTTTTTATTTCCTTTTTTTTTATCGCTATTGCGTTTATTTATTTATTTTTTAAAATGTAAGTGTAATAAGTTTGTCATGGTAAAAATAAAATAAATATTTAACATATTCAAATATGTTAAGTGTTATTCAATATGCTTTTTACATGTTGCCAATGATTAAATGATTAAAAATAACCTTTAGAGCACTCTTTAAATTTTAATTTCTTCAAGCAGTGATTAACCTTATTTGTAAAGTACATAGATTTTATCAAAAATCATAAATCAGTTAGTTTAATACATCAGGTGACCTATTAAACTTACCACACCAATTTTTTACATCAAATTTTATGTTTTATTATCATTATACTTAAGTACATTTTTAGTATTTTTTACAACTAAAAATGAAAATTGTTTTCTGTAAATTACAATAACCTTAAAGATGTATCATAATTTTTATGAAACAGCTATCTTTATTTACAGTTTATTGATAATATATAATTATTAATAATCCTAAGTCAAATATTTTATTAATTATGATGTTAATATAAAAATATTAAACCTATATTATTATTTCATAATTGATTAAATGATTCAATGTTGAAGGCTAAGCCTTTTGTAACCTAAAATTTATTTCTATTTAAATTAAATCAATTTTACAAGACTGAAATAAAAAAGTAGATATCCACAAAGTCTTACTGCAGTATTTCTTGTAAATAATAGATTAATAGTTTAATATTGATATCAAAGTATAAAAACTATAGTGTTACAAAATATAGAATTAAAAATATATATTGCAATTAAACCAAGCTATATATTTGGAATTGTTGATAGTTTGAAAAACTAAACCCTCTTTCAAATACAAAATCCAATTTTAATCGATTTAAGTGTATTGGTATTATATTTTCAGAACCTGTGCCTGTAGTTTAGAATTGTCGCCAAAAAACAGCTAAGTACTAACTTAACTATCTTATCATTATTTCTAATTACTAATACATATAATAATTGGTACAGAACGTATTACTGTGACCTATAGCTTCATTTATTTCTTACTTTCCAATTCTGCTGGCTACGAMTATATAAAGACCTCAAATACCTGTAAAATATTAATACAAATATAGCCAACCAACATAGTGATGATATACTGTTATCGGAGTGTTATGTAGTCTGTGMTTAAATTGAGAGGGGGCAGAATTTCTCAAGTTTTATTTATTTTTTCTTGGATGGGAGAAAGGTGCAAAAAACTGGTGTCACGTCAAAATATCGCGACGTTTTTGTTGCAAAAATGTCGCAGGTAGTAATTACTAATTATGGCCGAAGTCGCCAATGTGGCTCGTAGTTCCGGTTTTCGTTCAGTCGTAGATAAGGTTAGATTAGATTAAATACCTACGAAAATAAACTTCAGTATACATATTATATAGTGTGTAATGGTTATCGATAACGAAAAACGATTAACGAACACTTCGTTCTTGACATTGCGATATTTTTGTATTCGCGGCTTTTTTGTGTTTACGACATTTTAACCGCGACATTATGACGTGTATTCCAAAAAACTAGTGCCCAAAATATTTTTATTAAAATGCGAAGTGGATTTAAATTTATATTGTTGCTATAGCTGCCTAATGTATTTTACATTTTGTAATATCAAAAATATTTTTCTTTCTTATTCACGATTTAGATCAGGTACCCAAACATTACTATCTTTTATTAGGTATATTTTGTTTATATTATATCACACTTATTATTCGCCTAGTTTAGTACTRGCCTAGCCTAGCATAGATGAGTACAATAAACTTGTAATATCAAATATCCGTGGACTAATTCTGATTATTGACATAAGTATGTGTCTCGTGTCTGGAACATTTAGGTATTATTGCATTCAAAATAGGAATAATAAATAATATAAAAAAATGACATTTATAAATAACTGAATGTTGGAAAGTTTTAAAAAATCCGATGAATTAAAAATATAAATCAATATTTATTTACATGTTACATAATACATAGTAACTCCGGGGGTCGGAGTGGCGCATTGGTCACGCAGTTGACTTCGACTTACATGTTACATACTACATAGCCATCGGTTCGATTCCGAGCAAAATGCAAAAAAARATTGTGTGGTTCTACGTGATCACCAAATCCCCACGCTGTCGTCCGACTGTGTCATCTGATTTCCAACTAGGTCCCTCTCCGCTGGGTGAGAAGGCCGCACATGTCTCCTCTTGGAAGAGAGGGGTAGTATCATGTATATAGTGATATATACATACATAATTGGATCACATCCACATGATCTCCATACTACCCACTTGTGATAAGCATCATTGACGAAGACCTAGAGGTCGTTTCAATGAACAAATACAAACAAAAAAAAATGTTACATCGTAAAATATGTTATATTTGAAATATAATAATGCTAAAATGTTATAACACTTATAACTAAGCTAATTTTAATAATAAGGGGTATGGATGTTCCCAGGGRGGCAAGACGGGGCATTTGCCTCCCCCCTTGGAATAATGTTATTTCCACAGCAATTGGTGAATGGCAATTGGACTACAATAAACAATGCGTTACAACCTTAGATCCGAGTCTTTTTTATGCATGAGAAAAATTAGAATGCATCAGGTTGACTGTGATCAAAAGTAGATTCAGTGATCTGTATTTAAGAGGACTTTACACCTGCATGTGTCGTCTCCGTCTTACAAGTGCGTAACATCAAATTTTATGCTCAGCAGATCACGTTTAGCTCCGTGAGTTTAAAATTTAAAGTGAATTGACCACTTATAAAAATTAAAGGTAAAATTATTATCGAGGGCTCAAAGCGAGTGATGAGTATTTTAAAATGTTAAATTGTTGCTATATCTTAAAATATGCTGTTACGCACTTGTAAGACGGAGACAACACATGCGGGTATAAAGTCCTCGGTCAAACTTTGATTCTATAGTTTGTTTTTATTGTGATTTCCATAAACTCCAGTGCGCCACTGCCCAACCGGCGAGCCGCGTATTGTACTTATTATTGATATACATATTGCGACCTAGCTGATACGATTTTAACATGAAATATTTATTTATTCTCGGTTCTTTCCCGAGCGAAACAGTTTTTGCAATGTTACGCACTTGTAAGACAGAGACAACACATGCGGGTGTAGCGTCCTCTTAATATAGTTTAATTTTAATTAAGTATCTATTAAAGAAGATCGCTGAATAATTAACTAAAGAAACACATAGTATATAATTAATTAAGTTAAAGTTAAAAGTAGAATTATTTTGTTTTTAATGAAAAAGTAAGAACCAAGTATTTATTTAAATAAAGTTTTTGCCATTATTAAAATGCTAATCGCAAAAGTAATTTAAGTATGATCGTAGTTTTAAAAGTATCATTTTATTGATTTACTAGTTTTATTATTTTTAGCGACATCTATGAAAAACAATATTTCTGAATATTTAGAAATAGAAGAAATATTATTTATGCATAATAAAATTAATAAAATATTTTGTACTTATAATTACTTATAAATCACTTATGCTGAACAATGACCAAATATGATTTCAAGCAGACAATGTAGGACAGTAAACTTCAAGGATATCAACAATTGTATTGTATATTTTATTATTTCAATAAATACTTTATATTTACATTTATCAATAGTTAAAAATGTGTATATAATAGATAATGTAAATGTAATTTTACTAATAAAACATTCAAAACAATAATTATTTTAAACAACAAATTTAACAATCCTTTGAGATCATTATATATCTATAGGTATTAAATACATGGAATAACTCTTTACAAGGCATATAATATGTAATTTATGCGGAAGGCATAAATTAAAAGAATACAAAATATTATATTATTATTACAACTAAGATTTAATTAGATTAATTATTGGTGTGAATAAAAATAAAAACAATAAATAGGTATATTCACAATGTTCCACACGGTTATATCTTAAAAAGTGTAAGAGTAAATAATATTATATAGATTATTTTATTCCCATTCTTGTTTTATATTTTCGAAATCGGCATCTTCTATGAAAGGCTTATCGATAAGACTAAAATGATAATAATTCAATCATATAATGTTTATTTAAGAATAATTCAATTTGTTTATGGTAATAGAAATATAATATATTATGTACCTTATCATAATTTCGCCACAGAAAAAACATTCCGCTGCTAATAATTTATCTAAGGATTCTTTGATTTTATCGCGACGATTTATTACTTCCAATGACTGTGATATGTCTTTGTTGTTTTGATACAAAGTGCTGAGCTGATTCTAAAAAATAATGTTTTACTTAATTTAAAAACAAAAACAACTATTTCACAGCTACATACCTGTAATTCCTTAACAGTGTTTATTATACTAGGATTAACAAATGGTTGCATTTCTTTGATCAGACAGTCTGCGTGAAAACAATGTGAACAAGGGAACGTATAGAATGCTTTGGTCACTAATTGTTCTTGACAACTGCTACACTCATTTGATGGTTGGATTAACATGTATCCATTTCTAAATGACAAAATTTCAGATTTAATTACTTCAGCTGATTTAGTAGCATCTTCCATTTCTTCCTTGAGATTTTGTATATCCTTATTGTATTCCTAACAAAAATAATGCAAATGCAATTATGTGTATAAAGAACCCAATACAAACTTCATTAATAATCATATTATCTCACTTCAAGAGACGAACACACAGCATCTTTAAAATGATCAATTGTTACAAAATCTGGGAAAAACGGTAAGATATCTTCAATTTTTATAAACTTGCAYTCTTCCAAGAAACGCATAGCTTGTTCTATGTCATTATTTTGTTTCACTACATATTGTGCTAGGGTAAAAATAATAGACCATAATATTATTATTATACCTAAAATAAGTATATTTAACTGTAACTCACCGATTTTTAGCCAAAGTTTTTTTGATAAGTCCATGTTGTTATTAGGCAACGAAGCTGTGGTTTTAGCCAAGTCAACACTGATTKTCAATGCTAAATCCACTGCAGCTTCCCATAGACCCAGGACAATGGACAATTGTACGCATGCTTCTCCTAATTGGTGTTCACGACACAACCGCAGAGCGAATTCCGGGTTGTAGCTCACAGCYGTTATTTCTCGACCTTGTAGCTTTAAGTAATTCATAAGTTTGTCTCTATTGTGCTTGATGTAGAGTGATATCAAATAGTTGTGTACAGATTCCACGTGACAGTTCAAGCAATGTATACTGTACTCCAAGTATCTGATWATTTCTAAAGCCTGTATATAATTTATGTACAGTATAATTATAAGTACTAATTTCTATGCAAATAAGCTCAATATTTGATATCATGCTCACTAGTCTTTCACTTGGATTTGGAATTATCAATGTATTGATGACCTTTAAAGGGTCTAATTTTTGTCCTTGTTTTATCAAAATAGATACAGTTTGTGCCGGGGCTTTTTCAACAAGGTCAGAAGAAAACGTATAAAACAATTCACTGAATGGATGATTGTCCAATAATGTTAACGCTACAAGCGTATAATCATAATATTAATATTACTAACTATAAATTCTAGAAAAATCCAATTTTTCTTACCCTCTGCAATTTTTTCTTCATTTAAATAATGCTGAATAACACGCTTATAATCTTGATTTTCAAGTGCCAACCAAATCATAAAGTTCACATCCCCATGGCTAGCTAATATATCATATATGCTTTCCCAATTTTTACGTATACAATCCTAAAAATAATAAAAAAGTAATAATGTTATAAATATTAAAAACATAAACATAGTGGACACACATAAGACTCATAATATACAACTCAGTTGCTTATTTGAGAATATATTATCCAGAACGGTCTGGACTGCATGTTCATTTTAAATGATTCAATTTCATATTTWAGTATTAACTACCACCTCACAATATACTCTCATATACATTATTTACTTATAACAATGTGATGATGTAAATAAAATGTGGCCAAAAGAGGATCAGGTCATGGTTAAACTTGGCAAGGATTTAGATTACTGCATACATCCCTTTAAAAAGTTGACACAGCTGTGTCAAAATTGAGGCTTTCGGCTTGCCACTAGTCTGGAGTTCTAGACGTATTTAAAATTTAAATACATAAAAAACATTTATTAAAGCCTTATCACTCCGATCATAAGGTTCAAATAAATTATGTCCCAGCCCTCTAAAATTTCCGCGAAAAAAAATGGCAGAAAGTTTAGATGTTTTTGGTAAAATTTCAAAATAAAATAATAATAATAAAATAAACTAATACTAACAAATTAGCTTTTAAAATTATCATTTWAAACARAGCTATTTGCATTGTAGTGATTGGTTCCAATTCATGCTTTATATGTACAACAATCAAAATTTGTTAATAATATGCAAAAGTAAAATACCAGATGTTGTACTGTTACCAAAGACAGTCGTAAGTAATGTCCACTACATATAATAATTTATAAATAGATATTTACTTGAATGATGGATCTAGATAAAAATTGCTGAAATGATTCTTGCAGCATAGTATATTCTTGTGATTTTTCTTGTTTATAGTTTCTAAGTATAGCTAATTCATTAGCRAACAACTCAATCAACCACAAAGTAATCATTGTGATTTTAGTATAATCCTGTGACTTTAAACTATCTAATTTCTGTAAAAATAATCTTATAGTGATCATATAAATTTATAAATTTATAAATATAACTAAATACTATACTTTCATAAGGAATAGTTTAATTGGTTTTTTTTCATTTAAATGTAAAAATTTTAACACTAATTCTTCAAATGATATATTTAAATTGGCATATATCAGTGCACTATTTTCGTACCTACAAAACAAATGGTGTAATAATAATGACTAACTATGTTTGCGTTAGAATAATATATGTTTGTCATATTCAAATAAGTAGGTAAAAAAAATTAATTACTGTTTTGAATTAAAAAAATGTTCTGCTTGTCTAACTAACACTTGATTCATCCTGTAAGGATTGTTAATGCATATTTCTTTTGCTTCTTCAAACATTCCTTTATCCAGATACACCTAATCAAAAATACTGAAGTTAATATTTTTAAAATCCAGAAAAGAAAATTTARTTGTTTAAGATCTCAATCATACTTTCCAMACATGGCGATCTTCTTTAACCATTTTATATCTAAAAACAGCACGCTCTGCATACAACCAAATTGTTCCAGTCATCAGATCTTTAGTTATATTTAACAGTCTACCATGGCTCTAAAGGGCATATTTAATTGTATCAACAAATAAAAATMAAAAATATCTAACCATTTACATCAGAACAATAATCTTCATCCATCACTTGAGATGCATTACGATCTGCAGGAGCTATTAAAGAAACAGCAATAACTCTTTCTGGAAACAACAACAATACATGATAACGCGTAAATGTCATTGATATTGGTACACTGAAATCATCATCATCTCTTCCGTACAGACGACTATATTCAATGAGTTCATGAGAGCTAAATACTGTTTTATCATCTTTGTTTATATCTACCTGTAATAAATGTTTTATGAGAAATTAAAACTCAGTGTATTTATCAAGCGAAAATAGAAGTATACCTCAGCAACAAATACTCCTAACTCGGTAAGAAATCCAAAATATTTTGGAACCGTAAAATCATTGTCTAAGAAATAAAAATGTAATTTGCTATGTTTCACTACAGTCGGGACTTCGTAAAAGCGTTCTATAAAAAAAAAATTATTATTAGAAAATACTCATAATTTTCTTAATTTCAAATTGAACTTAGTACACTAAATATAAGTACCACTTGAATAATCAATTGTACATAGTGGATTACTATGTTTTGCTATTTTCTTATAGTCATATTGACTAACAAAGGAAAACTGAATACAATAGGAGTATTCATAAATAAATTGTATTTAATTGAGCCAATCTTTTTTATTATGTAGGTATAATATACTAGCCTGGAATAGTCAAATAATTGTTGAATATTTGTTGTAACATCGGTCTTTCATCTTTATTAAATATGAAATCAACAAATTGATACAATTTTGTAGGTGTAATTGCTAATATATAAAATAAATYCGATTTTCCAACTCTGTGATATTGGAGGCCAATTATAGGAATAGGATGTCCTTTACTTATATCAAACACCTATAATATGCATTTTATAAAAATTTTAATTGAGTTTTTAAAATTATGGCAGTATTACAAACCTCTTTCCAATATTGAACTACACTGCCTTGAAAAAATCTATCAAACTCTGTTCCTAGTTGTGTTTCGATTATTGTACCAGATGAATTTCCAAGCAATATGGGCCCAGTTGTGCTGGACGTAGATTTCACCTTACGATCATAGTTCCATGCTACAGATGTTATTTCTGACCCCTGGTATTTGCCTACCTATAATAATTAAATTACAGTTCAATACCCAAAACAAATGACAAAAAATATGGCAATTCTATATCAATTCAATTTTTTTTTCACTTACAGGTTTGAGTTTGGACAGTTGTTTAGTTGCATAAAAAAGCTGAGAACTAGTTATGTTACCACATGAAATAAGTAAATGTTCTCCGAAGGGATCCAAGAATAATTGCTTCACTTTTAAAGATGAAGTTTTCAATGTATCAATTTCTAAAAGAAAATAAGACAATTTAGTTTTGCAATTATTACAAAACAATAAGTTGTAAGAGTGCACATTTATCACMGGATTCAATACTAGGAGTATTGTGCTTAATCACATTTACTTCAATCMTTCTCACCTTCAATATTATCCTGTTTTAAGTTTATTCGCAGCAACACATTATTGACCATGACTAATACCACATATTCATTGTTTACCAGTAATTGAGTAATCTTATCACTTGGAGAGAAGTTGACTTTCTTCTTGGTCAATATGGGTATTCCTCCGAGGTCGGCATCTCTATCAAAACTTTCATCAAGCTATAATATTGGAAAACAATCAATGTTGTGTTCAAATAGTTTATTGCTGAATTGGTTGAAAATTAACTAAAAAGATGTCAATGCACCATTAGTTTTCTCTCTCTGACCTATGTGAAACAATTCATTGATGTTTAGCAGAACTTTTTTTAAGAAGTTACTTTTAGTATTAGATAAAATTCACCTCATTCRAATTTTAAGCTTAAAACATTCTAAGAGAACTGTGTTCCTATGTTGGATTTTTAAAATTTTTTTWAAATTTATAAGCATTTTTAAACTAATAATTTACATACTCATAGTATATAAAAATTTWAATTTAATAAATTAGTCAATGTAAGGTCAGGTCTCTTAAGGTATAATTTTATAATGGGTGAATTTACTCTAGTTTTAAAAGTAACTACACAAAGTCGATTCTTCTAAACATAAACGAGTTATGWTGTGGGGTCAAAAACAGAAAATAAATCGTCAGCTAATATCCTTTWAAATTAATAGACCAAATCATGTTTAACGGACAATAGCTCAGTAGTTACTACAGACTTAATAAATGTTTAGTGTTCATGTTATTYGGATAGCAAAAGGAGGTTTAACAAGCAGAAATTGTTTACCAATTGCTTGGACGTTGGTGCAATTTTAAATGTGCTTTCATCTCCCTGTTCAAACTGGTCCAGTATTGAAATCATCGTGTAAGTAAGTAAAAATCAAATCATAGGGTGCCAAATTACGTTATGTCCACCTGTATAAAATTATATTCGTTTTAAACTTTTCAAGCAAATATCGCTGTTCTTTTTAAATTTAAATTTGTTATAAAACAATTAACGAATTACTCGATATTAGAAATAATTATTAAAAGAACTGACCCAATTTGTGATCTACATTAGAAGCTAGTAGCTACTAAACTTAAAAAGTAGTAACTTGCTAACGACTAACGCCTAACCATTAACGTAATAACGTGAGACGAGACGGGTTGAACTGTTGAACAATTTCAACAATTGAAGAATTGAACGAGTAATCATTTATCACTAGTAATCTATGCAAAAGTTGTGGTCTGTGGTYACTGATAAGCTACTCGTTTCCAGTCCATGCTAAGAACCATATTCAGAATTATCACTAAACAGGATTTATCATTTATTATTATTCTGTTATCGGACGACCGTTATTATCAATGTGTAAATTGTAAGCAAACAAAGCATGAACGTTTGGATGAAAATATAGAATAAATAAAATGTGGTTATATACTAATTACAATACTGACTACTGAGTATTTTATGTAGTTTAATAGTTTATGCAGTTTTGCTCCATACTCCATAGACATTATAAGACTTTATGATATTTATTATATACCATTACAAATACCTTCTTAAATAAACAATAATAATTATACAATACAACTTTRCAAATTTAGAGTTGTTATTTCTTGAGCATTTTCAAAAAAATTGCTTATCAAAATTCAAGCTCATTTAGATAATTTACCAGTTTTGAGTAGCAAAGTTAAATTATAACAATAATCATGTCGGCTTTAAACAGTAAGTATAAATTTTGCATCTTCAAATCATTAATTTTTTTCATCAAATACTTATTTGATTATAGGTTCCAGTACTAGTACTGACCAAAATGATCCAAATAAAGACAAATCAAAAACTCCAAAATCTAAAGACATGCATTTACCCATATCAAGAGTACGTACCATCATGAAAAGTACACCAGATATTGAAAACATAGGATTACCTTCATTGCACGTTGTCACTAAAGCAACTGTAAGTATAGAATCGTACTTTCATCAATRTTTCAACAATATAAATGCATTACTTATTAACAGGGCCGTATTTAGGAATTCGACACCAAGGGACAAAAAAAAATACGCCTTATTAATCATTATACACAATACAAATTTAAATTATAAAAAAATTAGCCCCCCTCTCCTACTCAGCCGCCCGGGGCAACAGTACCCTGTAGCTCCCCCCTAAATACGGCTCTGCTTATTAACTTTAACAATCATTTAAATATACCTAGTGGATGCTATCTGAAATATGCCTAACATGTATTAAGAGCTGTTGGTTACATTTTGTATTGAAATTCTCTGTATTTCAAAGTGATTTTATTTTAAAAGGATGTGGGTACTTGTTAATATAGATTTAATCAATGATTATATTAATATCATAAATTATATTAGGTAGTGTACGTTTATACCGTATATTACTTCCAAGTTAGATAAGTATGTTCGATTAGRTTTACATTTTCAGTCGTCCAAGCAGTATATATACTTAGAAAAATTTAATTTTGGTATTGATACTACATTACTAGGAATTCAATTATATTTTAATAGAAAACATACAATCTGTATCTCAAAGTATAGTATGCATAATATAACAGAAAATAWACTTTCAAGCATTTCAAAAAAACAAAGTTTTGTATAAAAAATTTTTATTTGTTTGTTTTTAATAAAGAATAGATTTGGATGCTAATCGTATTTTTTTCTGAATGTCTGAACTCTAAAGTAGGGATGGTTATAAAATCCGAATATTTAAATTATCCGGATATCCAAATCCCGATTTGAATCAAATTCTTATCCGGATTTCCCGAATAATCCGGATTTATGGATTTGATAAGCTAAGCGCAAAACATCACTGGTACTTAAAATGCGTTCGAAATTTTGTATACCTATGTCTGAAAATTATATTATAGAGTTAAAATATTATTAGTATATAAAAATGAGTCATTGAACAGCTAAATCGAGTTGAATAATCTGAATACTTCAGATTTGACAAATCCGAATAATTCGGATTTTTGAAATCCGAATATGCCCACCACTACTCTGAAGACATTGCTTTCCAGGCACAAAGTTTTATACATCTAAGAATTAAAAAATGTAACTTTTATCTTGTATTTTTTAGACTGTTTTTGGAGCACTTTTTGGTTTTTAAGTCATTTTTATCTAGAAATAGATAAAGCCTTGACGGATTTCCTTGGGTTGCTCCTGTAGGGGAGCAGTTAAAAAGTTACCCACCGTTCATTTTTTTATTTAAAAAAAAATATTCTTGTTGCTCTCTATAATTGTACTTTATTAATTTGATTATAATCACTTATAATTTACTGTAGTTCACAGAAAATAAATTATAACAGACTAAAGTTTATATTACACTGTGAGATTAGTAATTAACACCCTGGCTATCCTCGAGAGCACATRCAGTCCAGTACTTGCTAACCTGTCTGGGGTCACTGCGAAGGAGTCTTGGATTAAAGTTGAAAGCTAGTCAGTTGTGAAATATTTTTGTTTATTCTTGCATGGATTTAATAATGCATTAAGTTTAGTATTTGATTGTAAAGTATCATTGAAACTTAAAGAACTGAATGAGAAATCTTGGAGTACTATGTATTATAATTATAACGTTTAAATTAATTTAGATTTGATTTTTTGTAAATATTTATTAAATTAATAGCCCATAGTAAAATTTCAAGTTCAATTAAAATATTATTATTTTGTAAACTTAACCTTTGTTATGATGCAATCTATATGTTAGAAGTTTATTTCCTTTTACTATTGTAGGTATATAACCCACTTTGGCATTATCTATCTCAAAGTTGGGTWGAGATAGTAAAGTGATCTCAAAATAATGTTTTGATTAGATAGAAACATTGAATCTAAACACTACTATATATTTAATTTTGTTTGATTACATCTCATATTTATATAAAAACTTATTTATGTATTTTAAAACAATTATTTATTGCATTTTAGGAGCTATTTATACAAAAACTGGCACAGGATGCTCTCAAAGGACAAAGACACTTCAGACATTTAGAATATAATGATCTTGCCAGAGCTGTCGAAGATAATGAAAATATGTATTTCCTTAGAGGTACATTTTTTTTTTTTTTTTGTATGATTTATAATGATAGTATATGTAGGTCCCAAAGATAAGATTACTTGGATTATCCCAATTAATGGATTTTTATTAAAATTGAAACTGTATCTGCCATAGTTACCGAATATAAATTATTTTTACTTACACAACTTGAAATTGTACGCATTAAAAAGTGACTTGTRCACAAACCCCACAAATAACCAAATTCAATTTAGTTTATAGTCTATTTTATTGTATCCCGCCTACCTAACTCATGTTTGTTCACAAAAATTAAATTTTTTGTTCATTAGAAATAATTTTGTGTAGTTGAATTTTATGTTTKAGTAAACTGACCTAAATCAAACTTAAAGTTAAGAATATTTCATATATTTGTATGTTAATTATTTTATTATGCATTTCATGATTAGGTATCTAAAATATTACGATTTAAAAATGCTATACATATTTCTTGAAAAAACAGTATTCAAACACAGTCCACAATATTTTTTATTTTTAGTTTGATGATAAGTCCATTCAATATAATTTGAAAAGTTAATAGCACAAATTTACTATATTGTGCATTGTTAGAGAGAAAACAAAACATTACCCACAAAAACCAATTAATTCAATTATTTTCACTAATAGTTTTAATTTAATTTAATTTTTTTCTAAGTATTGTGAAACACAAAAATTAAATAGTTCGAATTGTTTATGAGTTATAAGATTTTAAAGTTTTGGTGAGCGGAATAGAGTGGTACATATAAATTTTAAATACTTATAATGTTATAACCAGGGCTCATAAGTTCATGCACTAAAAAAWTCAGAAATATATTTTTATATGCACTAAAATTTTTAAAATATGCATAATGCAAAAAAAATATTGAAATAATAAGATAGGTATATTTATTAATTGATTTTTATACATTATATAACATTCAATGTATATAAATCGTATACCATGTAGAATTCAAAATGTTGTCATCTTTACTAATCTTAATTTATATTTGATTTTTTTTCATATTTAATATTAAATATTTCATATTTTCAAAAACATTAATAAGTGCTTTTTAAGAATAAGTGTCCTACGTTTTTTTAGCAGTAATGCGCAAGTAATTCTCACAGCGTTGTCGTTTCAACCCTAGAAAAAAGTGTCCTACGTTAAATGAATCACACAATATATCTATTATATATATATAATATGTATTTTGTTTTCCAGAGGTTTTGCCTAAAAAAATTACTATGGCTGAATACTATAAATTGGTTGGTAAAGAGTCCTCAGAGGATGGCGAGGACAATGATAACAGTTCTCAAACGTCACATTCTTCATCATCATCAGTATCATCAGACAATTAATCTATTTAATACATTATATTCCTTAACAGTAACAATATGTGAAATTATATTGTTTTTTTTTTTTAATTTTTCTATTATAATATTTATAATAAATTATTGTAATAAAAATTAATTTTTTAAGTCATTGATCGTGAATATTTTTTTCTCTAAATCGTTTTACAAATATTAGTTTTGAGTTGTTTTCCATATATTTTGATATTAAATCATGATTATTCTTGATTTTTTTCCCATCACAACTTAACCAATACGTTTTCCATATTCGTCTCCAACTGATKGTTGATCTCTCACCAGCTCTTTTTAAATGTAACGTCATTTTTCTCTCTATGCTCTTTTTCAAATCAGCCACTTTTGCTCCATTCTTCTGTACCTATGAAAAAAAAAAAAAAAAACTACAATACATTAAAAAAGAGATTCTTGTTACCTGCCTATTCACAAATTTCACAACATTGAATGACGAAAAATTCGCGACTTTAAAATAATAAACATGTTATACTGACGACAATCGGAATGACAATGCCGTCAAAGCGTTCCAGGTACACGGTTATCGCTCGGCCGTGTTCAATCGCGATTTGTAAGTCGACTTCTCCCAAGGTCACGTCGTTCGGTAGGTCTCCCAACACGCTGTCTTTGTCCAGTACCCTGTTCAAGACTTCGCCCGTGAGGTCTTTGAGTCGTTCGTGACTGATCGCGGCGACATCGACGTCCGCCAGTTCAGACAGCGCACTCGAAGACGACGGATCTGCAGGCTCGTTCATCGGACCCCACTTGGTTCCTGCCGGTGCTGATGGTGGTGGTGGTGGTGCTGCTGCTGCTGCTGAAAGAGAAACCGTGTTTTACCATTATGGACGCTGATATAATACGATACGACATGTAATCTGTAAGTTTGCGACGAGGTCGTTATCGGGTCAATGAAAAAAATAATAATGTTTTCAATAATCGGCCGACCATCAAACAWTGAATTCGCTCGGCATGTGGGCCGGTGAAATGAAAATTGTGTACTAAACTATTATTAACTATAAATATCTACATCGGCGGTTATGTAGTCATGCAGGTACTGTCGTATACACAGGCTAGTGACTACACGTTTTGTCCATTAGAGGACCGTTGCGTCATAATTATAATTTAATAATAAAATTTGCAAGAAGGGGTGGGGGCGGGATGTTGCTCAATAGATATTAATATTTTATAGTCATTGTCATCAATGTATATTTAGGTATTACAGTATAGTCGTGTGTATTTATATAAAGGTAACCAGCAGCAGTCAGCTAGTCCCAGTCGATATTAACTACGCGGAGTGCCCGAGAGACCATATTCGATTTCGGTCTTTAGTAAAAACATCGTTTTGCCGACATCGCCAGTACAAAATAATATGTACGATGTTACATTATTCGTTATTCGCGTTACGAACAACTCATCGACCTAGTGATCCGACGATATATTATTATGTACATAATATTTAGTGCATAAAGCGTTTATCTGGAGGATTTAACAGGATTTAAATAGTCAATTCATCAAGAGAACTAAATGTCCACTAATTAGTGATTACATCTATATATTTATGATTATGACATACCACCATATTCGCTATATCATAATATAAACCGTTGAGCGTAGCGTTCAAAGTTCAAATCATATTATTTATTTAATACTCATAATCACTTCAATTATGATATAATATTATACTATAAAAAAAAATATAATAAATGTCTAACAACAGTTGTRTGTCTATTATGATACATTATAGCTTTTCTATGTGCGTTTTGTTTTGGGGGACAAAGCGTGCGTGGATTGGCTAAAATAATTATATTAATATTATTATAAGCGTCGAACGGGCAAGCGAAATCTGCGCTTATGTTTTTCATTGTCGAACTAATACCACGAAATTGGTTAACTTCGAACAGTTTTTGTACGCTATTTTATTATGATTTTCCAGATCAATTGCAGCATGCCGCTTGTGGTACGAGACTGGTATCCCATCAATTGAACCAACGGGGATGGCCGCAGACYAAAATCATAGGAGGCTCGACCACGCCATACGGAGCATATCCTTGGCAGGTAAAAAAAAAAGAAATATTCGATTGGCTCTTTTTACGATAACTACCTACCTAGTTAATTATAATTAGCTGCCGTATAGATAGATAGGTAGACCGGGACATGTTTTAACACACATGAATCGTGGTATATTATGAAATACACACCCGTATATTATAACATTTATAACTGTTTTAATCGAGCTCTTGTAATTAGGTAGGCTCTTTTCTGTATGTAGTATATATAGGTACTAGGTATTCATAAGACAAAAATAAATTACATTAATTTGGATATTAATCGTTTCGCGTGTTTTGCAACATTATAGAGAAAGAGCTTTTTAATACACCCATGGGGGGGGGAAGATAGGGCACTTGCCCCCCTGGACAAAAGTAATATGAATCAACTGTACCTATATAAATATATATATATATGACAATACAAATATAATATGCATATTAACATTCATATGTGAAAATAGCATAAAATCTTTACTATCTTACATTTGAGATTTTTTTTTATTTTGACCCTCCTTAAAATTTTATTTATGGGCGCCCATGAAGGCATGAATACACCAATAATAGGGTAAATAGTAAACCTGTACATACCTACATAGAAGAAAAATATCAGTTCAGTAATTACTACGTCTCATGTACATGTACAAGTATACCACCTACCACCGTAAGTATATTACTGTTAAATTTGACTAACTTTTATATTATTATTTGTATTCAATGCATATTTGCATAAGTACATTCAGCATAGRCGTAATTTCAATAAAATAACTAAGGGTGCAGGGTGCTCATGCTATG